GTAATTCTATGACTCTTGAATCCAGCTTGGATTCTAACTCTTGTATCTGTTTTCCAGGAAACCTGTGCCTCCTCTGTGAAAGCTCAGGAAGAGCTAACCTGCCGAGCCGACCCTCAGAGCCAAACCTGAAGATTCACAGAGAACCTCCAAGCAGCTCTGGACTAGAGCTGGAAAACCCAAAGCCAAGGTCTGTTCAAATTAGACGTGAGACGCTGAAGCAGCAAACGGACTCTGCTGATGAACTCTTCTCCAGAACCAACAGTGACTCTCCCAAAGCTAACCTCAAGAACCCTCAAGGTACAATCAGTAAACTTCAGGAAATCAAACCTCTGTTGACAACGCTAACTGAACTATCTCTCACGCAGACTCCGGTGAACCAGAATCCAGGCCCCGAACCTGAACGAGTATATTCTGTGTGTTTGTCCATAAATAAACAGTTAAACTTTCATCCTTGTGTCCGTCAGTGGTGTTCTGCATTCTTGGGTCGCTTTTAGTGAACCCATCATGACAATTTGACAAACAACGATAAATGAATCAACCAAATACACACAAAAGAGACTAGTTATCATCAACCAAACCAGACAACAATTTCTAAACTACCGTAACTAAATTTACCTGAACATAAATAGAAACAAAACCCTAATAAACCTGTCGGTACATACTGCTAGAGAAATTATATTGATTAATGTAAACTGGCTGAAAAGGGGTATGAAGAAGTAAAACGTATCATTCATGCCCCCTCTAAGGCTATGACCTTGATCAAACAACCAGACGAAATGTTTTTTATGTATCAAACTATTTCAGTTTGATTTAATCGAGGCATGATGATTTAATGAGGGACACATTACGATAAATCCCTGAGAAATTGAAGAAAAAAAGCAAAACAGGAGGACAAACATCTTAGGAAGGTTATAAATACAGCATGTTTAATCGTATTTTTAATAATCATCAAGTTAAGAGTGATTTATTTATGGTGCTCAATAGTATAAAACACCATCAACAGTTTTTAAACACAGTCATATAGACTTATAGACCCACGCAGGCACAAACCCATTCACATAAACACATGCGCATGCGCTACATGTTGTATCATCCCTGCTGCTATGCTGGATTCATCCAAATATGGTTGAAGATATTTCCATGGCAACAGCAGACAGAAGGGGTGCAGACTTAGGCGGGATGATCTCCTGAGAGAGTCCAACTACTCTTTTTTTTTTTTTTTTTTTTACTTCATTCACTGTTGCAGACAGTCATTCTTTCAGCAAATAGTTACTCTACGCAAAACTCGACCTTGGTTACATTCTGGCTGCCATGGCAATTCATCTGCAGTGCATAAACTGCAGAGGAATTTGGAAAAGTCATTCTGTAACTGTGTTTTGGTTTTTATATTGTTGAACCAATCCTTTTTGGGGGGGGGTTACAGTTTGGGTTAGGCTATTTCCAATATTATGTACATCATTACATTAACTTCAGCATTAACTGCAAAGCAGAGCTGCTGCAAATTAGAAAAAAATACATAAATTGCAGAAATGGAACAGAAATACACCAACATACATTACACCCTAATAACAGATCACGCCATAAAAGAAAAGGATGTCTCTGTTATGTCATCACATAATTCAGTGCTACTATAATAAACCACTGTGCATTTTATAGAAGGCTAAAAGATACAGATGGAAGAGACAGAGAAGCTGAAAATGATCTGCATCTGCAATCAGTAACACTTGATGTCAAGTAAAAGGAGGAGTAAAAAATGAATATAATTTAATATATATAATTTATTCAGCCTGATATGACAGAATGCCATTTTGTGTTCTTAGAGACCATGAATGTCAATATAAGTTAAGACCAGGCCGTGAGTCCTCGGTGCCAACAGTTATATATCTCAACCCAGCCCCTCATTAATGAGAACACAGCCCTCTGGCACCATAAGGAATTATAGGACTGAAACAATCAATAGACTGGAGCTAAAAGGTGTGACTGTGTGTCTGCACTGCTAAAAGGGCATGCAAGTCTACTGGTGATGTGTTTGCCAAGTACTTTATTTTGATATTCCTCATTTATTCAACCGCCTATGTGGGAGAAATGAATTACCAGACAGCGATTCATAACACTGTTGAAATTATGCGCTATTATTAAACCATCTACTGAAGCCAAAATTGATGAATTGTGGAGAAATTCAGAACATGCTGCTTAAGGCTCTCGCTACGTACAGTTAAGGGGCTAGATGTCTTTTTTTTTTCTCACAGCATAGCCTTTTGTCATACATTGTGGAACTGTTTTTTGCCCCTTTACTTATTTTTTCTGCAAAAATAACTTGCAAAAATGAATGAATATATCAAACATTTTTTTTATCATTTCATTTTCAAAAGGAAAAATAAAATATTATGACATCATAATTTCACCAAGTTATTACAGTATTTTCTCTTATTACATAAACTTACTAAATAAAATTGAGTCTAGCAGGGCTTTCTTTCTGGCTGTTGCAAACCAACTCACATAGAGAGGACAAACAATTATAATCTCAGTGACTCCAAGACAGACCACGCCAAACAACTGACCTGCCGCAATATTTCAAGCAAGGAAAAATAAAAAATTTATGATTTTTCAAACTATCTGTCTGAGAAAGTAGTATTATCTGCTTCATCGTCATCATCTGTATGCTCCTTTGGTAATGTAATTATCTGGTGCTAAATGAGTATCTGTCCAGCTGGCTGGATCAAAACTTCCCTCCGCAAGCCTCCAGTGAGTGGGGTATCCACCCATGACCGACTCTAATTTGTGTCTTCATCCATTTATGATATAGATGCTAATGGAGGCTGATATTCAATTAACCAAACTGAATCAAAACTGACTGGCCAGACAGACCAAAAGTCATGAAGCAAAAATTACTATTTCAAGGAAACATTGTGTTCTTTTTTTACCAGCGGAATGCCCAACTGATGAAAGGTTTTTGTAGGTGCTACTAAAATTTAGAATAATCAAAGAAAATCTTTAGCGAAGCAAGTGTGATTATTTGAGAGAGGGCGCCACTAATTCAAGAATGTGCTACATGATTAAAATGAAGTTAATCTGTACATTGCTAGAAAGCACTTAGAAGAATTTATTTACATAGGAATCCATATTGGCAGTTTTACTTGCTATCAGTAGTTAAGTGTTCAGTAACAGTATATAAGTGTTATCAGAAAATTTTTGATGAGGTTTAGATATGAAGTGTGTGAAGAAGTTGCTAAAACATCCGAAAACGTTTTAATTTTCACATTTCTCACTTTAGGCTGCACAGTGGGTAGCACTGCTGCCTTGCAGCAAGAAGGATCCGGGTTCGATTCCTGGCCTGGGGTCTTTCTGCATGGAGTTTGCATGTTTTCCCTGTGCATGCTTGGTTTCTCTCTGGGTACTCCAGCTTCCGCTCACATTCCATAAAACATGACTGTTAGGTTAATTGGCTTCTTTAAATTCTCCCTAGGTGTGAGTGTGTGCGTGAATGGTTATTTGTCTTGTTTGTCTCTGTGTTGCCGCGATGGAGGGGCGACCTTTCCAGGGTGGACTTTGCCTCTCACCCATCGACAGTAAGAGATAGGCACCAGCACCCCATACAAACCCAGCAGGGATATGGGTTTTTCAAGGGGTGGTCTGAAGGGAGAGTCATGGTTGTGTATGTTCAACAATATAGCTTGCTGGAACAGTTTTTCCAAGAACTTCTACAGCACCTTTAATTCATCCCCCTTCTTTTCAGATAAACAGAGTTTTTTGCCATCAATGGCTTTACCTCAGTTGCCAGACGAAGACACCGAGGAGGATGCTGGTGATGAGGAGAGTGATGATCTAGATGAGTGAGATGATAATGAACATCATGCTGGCGATGACAACACAAATGATGCGGGCTACGATGATTGAAATACACAGCACTGATTTCTGGGGAGTAGAATTGAAAAGAATTCCCTTTTAGGCATTTTTTATGTTATTTACAGGATTCTGTTCTTATTCTATCGAAGACCTGTTTTGTTCTCAACAAATTGGCTGACAAAAAGGTGTTGAAATCATTATTCATCCTATGTTAATTAACAGTTGGCATGACAACTAATGCTGAAGCTGCTATAGTGCAGCTTTCATAAACACACATGCACACATCAGCATAAAACAAATGTCCTTTCTTAAGGTTCCTTTTACCAAAATTTGAAGGAGAAACCTGGACGAGTGAGACCAAATTATTATGAGCAATATATTTCCATAACCAATAACAGCCTCTCTTTGACATGTACAGACACACTCATGAAATCATGTTCAACTGCAAAAAGTGTGCAAACCATTGTAGAAAGAGGTCTTAACTATGGAACTAAATTGCAGTGAAAGTGCTGCCCTTAAAGTAAAGCTATTGAGCAAATTGTATCTCAAAACCATCTGGAAAAATGTTGTGTTAGTCTTCCACTGCCATCTGCTTCAGAGCAAAGGATGTCAACATGAACAAAATTGAGGTTCAAAAAGCCTGCTTCTTTTTTTGGCATTTTTCACACTATAACCTTTGCTGTTCAGAAAATGTATGCTGCATGATCTACAACAAATAATATGGAAGTAAGCTGAGAAAAATATAATACAGAGGTTCAGAGCTACTGAGTTTTGAGTGCGTAAAGTAAATTGTGTAGCTAGGTATGGCTACTATATCAACCAATGCCCACTTAATGACTCAGATTCTAGAAAGACATGTATTCATTTATCTGGGTTTACTTTAATTTGCTTCATAAATATAATGCAGCAATAATCAACATACATGCAAAAAACATTGAAAATATTAAGTATATTGGACTGCTTTGTGACTTTGACCCAAATTGTTCTTTCTTTATGTCTTTAAAACCTCTCTGACATGGCTTGTTATTTGTGTTTGAGTTTTTTATGGCTTTGTAGATGGACTGTGTTTGTGTTGTGCACAACTCTTTTTCTTGACAAGCATTGCCAATCAAACATTTATCAACACAACAGAAAATCATGAAAGCCAAACTAACCTGCCGACAAGGAGAAAAGCTCCGACCAGTCTCTGGCGTCTCATAGCCATGAGGATGTTGCGAACAGTCATGCCTTCACAAAAACATGCTACTACTCTGGCCTTAGGCAGGTGTGCCCTCAGTCTCTCCAGCAGACGATCAAAGCTCTGTTCTCCGGCATTGCTCCAGATTTTACCTACAGGAGAACATGTGAGACAGTAATTCAATGACATCATGATGTGCTGTCTTTGTAGATTCTAAGTAGGTATTACTTTTGCCACAGATTATTCCTGCTGAACCACCTGGTTCTAATACGGAGCAAAACGCTCAACTAGATAGATATTTATTAATGGATGTCTCTGCTAGCTCAGTGTTAAGTTTAAGAGGTAGCAAATAGAAAAAAAATATTAACTGCCACAAATATGCAAAGTTGTACGCAAAAACAGTTCTTAGTGTGGATGAATATTCTTAAGAGCCTATGTTTTTTAGATTAACAATGAAACAATATAACATTTATAATACAATTGATCATGGATGGATGGATGGATGCAGTAGATAGATAGACAGACAGACAGACAGACAGACAGACAGACAGACAGACAGACAGACAGACAGACAGACAGACAGACAGACAGACAGACAGACAGACAGATAGATAGATAGATAGATAGGGTTAGTTTGACCTTTGCTTACTTTACCTGAGTGGGCGATACAGATGCCCTCCTTGGCTGCCATGTCTTTAAATGCTTCCATCCCACTTTCACCATAGTTGCCTGGAAAAGTCATAGAAAATAACAAATGACAAGGTTTTATTTAAGGGCTATGTAGGAGCCATATATACATTTTTGGAATTGATAAGCATCTGTAATTGAATCGTTGTTAAGCTTATGACGTGGTGCCTTTTGATTGGTTTTCGAATAATTGGTTTATGAAAGAAAAAAGGACTTGCTCTTTGTAGAAGTTTGTCACCTTAGGAGAAACACAGTCTTTTGACCGTCACTTTATTTGTTTTGAATCTGCTTGTTATTTTATTTCTTTTAAATTCAGTAAAGACCTAAAAAATACCGTCGGATTCAAGACCTCCTTTTTTCAAGAAGAAAGTGTCGCGTTCGAAAGAGCTTTAAGGGGCTAAACTAGTGAGGCTTGCCGCACTTACAGGCTAAAATTACATTATCAATAGCAGACAGCTTGTCTACTTTTACTTCTTACAACCACTGGAATTGTAAAGTTCTGCGTTCATTTGCAGTCTCTAACAGCTTTTCTTCCCGAAGTTCTCCATGTTTCACTCCCATGATGTTCCCCTGAACACTGAACTTGCCCGTTCATGTCAAAGAACAGACCACCGAAAACATGACGCTGCCACCACTGTGTTTGACTTTTTTGAAGTTTTTGTTTGAGGTCATATGCAGTGTTAGTTTTCTACCATGCACAGTGTTCGCATTCAAGGCAAATACAAAAAAACAAACATTTATAGTTTTCTTTATACTGTTTTCCCTGAAACTAATTTATATATGTAATAATTGTACAGTGCGTGGTGCAATGAGTAGCACTGCTGCCTTGCAACAAGAAGGTTTTTCTGCATGGAGCAAGCCCAGGGTCTTTCTGCATGGAGTTTGCATGTTCTCCTTGTGCATTCGTGGGTTCTCTCTTGGTATTCCGGCTTCCTACAACGCTCCTAAAATATGACTCTTAGGTTAATTGGCTTCTCTAAATTCTCCTTAGGTGTGACTATGTGTGAATGTTTTTTTTGTCCTGTTTGTCTCTGTGTTGCCCTGCGATGGACTGGGGAGCTGTCCAGGGTATACCCCACTTCTCGCCCATAGACAGCTGGAGATAGGGACTAGCACCCCTCGCGACCTCAGCTGGGATAAAGCATGACGGAAAAGGCTGCATGGAACAGTTTAAGAGCTAACCTAGACTTCTCTAATTAATGCTTTCCTAGTGCAGTTTCTGATGACAGATAACCTTTAGTAGTTTTGCAGTGCTGTCATACTTTTTCCATTTTAAGATAACCAATTGAAAAGTGCTTAGTGAGATGTTAAAAACCTGGCATAGTTCTCATAACCTAACTCAGTTTTAAACTTCTCCACAACTTCCAAAACAACCTGTCTGCTGTGCTCCTTGTTATTTATGCTGTTTGTTTACTAATGTTCTCTAACAAACTCAAAAAGCCTTAACCAATGATCTAGGTTTAGACTGAGATGAAGTTACACACTGCTGAACTCTGGTTTACTAATTCGAAGTTCATATAAAATCAATATCGATCCAGATGGTTACACTTGAATTTTTATGAGGGGTATCAGAGTAAAGGGGCTTGAATGCAAATGTAGGTCACATTTTTCCCATTTGAATTTTTGCAAATATACAGTGCAGAGAAATACTTTTAGTTCATCAGTTACATAAAAAAAACCTTAAATAAATAGAAATGTGTGGTTTTAAAATAATGTAGAAACATTCAACAGGGAATGAAGACTTTTGCACTGGCAGGGTACAGTATACTGACTGCAGCAGCTTGCCTTCTTCTAGAACCTTAGCAGCTTGGTTTTATGCCAGTGAAAGCATATCCCCACCGTTGCTCCCCCTTCTTTGCCAGAGAAAGTGGGTGACCTGAAATTTATGCTAATGAAGGGTTGTGCACACTACTGGCAATGGATGTGATAGGATTCCCCTCTCCGGGTTCTTATTCTCACAATTTTGGTGCTCCTCCATTCCTTTAGACATTTCAACAAAACATCAAAGCTCTTCAATCTATGTTTGCTTTCAAATCTCTGACCTGTTTATTGCTTATGATTGAACACCAAAGAGTCTCTCAACAGGTGCAACCGATATGTGTGCTGCAGAGTTGATATATATATATATATATATATATATATATATATATATATATATATATATATATATATATATATATATATATATATATATATATTTTTTTTTTTTTTTTTTTTTTTTTTTTTTTTTTTTTGGACATAGAGGCAACTGATTAAACAATAGGGATGAAACGGGAGACTTGGATTATAAACTGAAAAAAAGCCACAGAGAGAAGTCAGGGGAAGAGTGGGAAATTAAACAGACAATAGCTCCCGATCCCTAACCGACGTACAGCTCACTGTGTGTGTAGTTAGACCGATGATGAGGGTGGTGGAGTGAAGTGTAAAGTCCTGTAATTAGTGTCTCAGTGAGAGGAGTGGGAGACAGATGGTACAGACCATCCTTCCAATGGTCCTTTCAGACATACACACACATTCATACTGGCATAATTATCCCAATCTATAAAGCTTGTAACGTACTTCACTCCGGAGTCAGGATTTATCTGAAAGACCTTATTCTCTATCTGTTAGTAAGCTTGGCGCGGCTCTCTTCATTTTTCAAAGACAATGGCTGGCGGGGTCATAAACATTGCTAGCAGACCGTCCTAACAAAACACTGAACACACACATATCCAGTCATCAGTCTGAGAGAGGTCAGAACCAGACGGAAGACAGCTTGGGCCAGACGGTCTCATCTTTCAAACTATTACATCAATAATTTACATCATTTACAGGCTTCTCTACAGAAAACCCACTTTTTCTTCAATCCATGGATTCCTCTTAACACTAACATAAATCTATCTATTCATACAATCAATTTGCAGCATTTGATGCCAAACATTTACTCTCAATTCTCTAAATTCTTTTTTTTTTTTGCACCTAATGTCATTTCAGTCGAAAGTGTAAAAACTTGTGAAAAAAAACACACTAAATGTTCTACAAACAAGTGTGAAAAATAACCTCTGGCAGAGGATCAGTATCCCTTTGCACACAATTGGTTCTTTGTTTTATCACATTATACTTCAAATGAAAAAAATACTGAGATCACACAATGGCTGCTTTACACTACGACTTCCCGTCCCTCACTGAGATGCCTTCATTTCATTCCTAGTTTAAAGTTTTTCTTATTGATTAGGCAAGGTTCAGAGAAGAACTATAATAAACACACTTTAGAAAATGTTTCAGTAAAAGAGCGACAATCCACAGAACATATTTCCCCTGCTTTCATGCTTCCAAAAACATGACATCTGGTTCTTCTGGTTGTTGTAGATCACATTAGGTGCATAAAATCCATTAACTACAGAGTGTGAGGTTTGAGTCAAACTCCAAATCTCAAAAAACACAAGAAAAATAAATTCATGGCAGTTTTTCTCATGCGTCCTTCTTGCTTCTTTAATCGCTGTGAACTTATGTAATTTTTTCTGGTCTAGCCCAATATTCTAAACTGCAATCTAAATCACAACACACAAAGAAATGCTGAAAGTTCTTCCAGCTCTCCGGTAAAGCACCCCCCACCCCTTACATGCAGTTTCTGTCAAACCTACTTACTGTAGAAGCAAAAATGAATGCGGTCGATTTAAAATAGAGACAGTGCAGTCTGGTTTTCTATGCCTTCAGTTCCTGTTTTTCATTCGACTCACCATGATCCATCTTCAATTTTACACAGCAATGCATTTATTTGCTCTCTTTCCCCCATTCATTCTCATTTATTCTCATTCATTTTCATTCATTTTCTTTGCTCACTCCAATCGGGATCAGAGAGGACATACTTCATCTTTCTTTTTACCTTTGTCTCCAAGAGTGAAGTGCAAATAAATTAGAATATTAGCAAAACTTCATTAATATTTTTCACTTAAGCTATAGAAGGTCAAAGCTAAAGAAGAGTTGTTAAAAAAGTGCTATATGCGGAAACGTGGATGGAAAGTTGAGCATAAGGAAAAAGTGTGTTTAAAAATGGTAAATGAGTAACAGGGACCCTAATTTGGAGAGGGTTATGAAGTGAAAGGTTTTTCTGGACCATAATATCACATTTGAATTAAGAATTTAAAGGTCTGGTAGTTTAAAATCGTTTTTTCTTCAGAAGTTTTCCACCGTCTGTGATGATTTGGTTGTCGGTCCAAAGATAAGCTTTTTTTTTTCTTCCTTAAATAAGGTCCAAAGTCAAGGCAACCATGTATCAGAACCTAAGAAGGCATTTCATGGTTTACTCTGCTGACAAGCTCTATAGAGATACTAATTTCATTTTCCAATCTTATTTGATACTTCTTAATCTCTTCACAGTTCTACATTTTAAATGAATACAGAACTGGACAGCCTCTTATGATGATCTTTTCTATTACCAGAAAATCCATCTATGAGAACCAAAATTTGACAATATTACAGAGGCAGTTGTGATTCAAATACAAATGTGCCCCAAATTAAGCCAATATTTTACAAAATTCAGAATTGCAAAATTTCACGATTGTGATATTTCAATTCAAAGCCATTAAAGATGACTTTTTTCAGAAAGTAACTGTCCAGATTCATCTTAAATTACTCAATTGAAGGCTGGCATTCTTGCACTCATTGCCCCCCCACACACACACACACAAAAACAAAATATAAATCCATAAGCTCTGGCCGTGGTGGTGCCTACAAAACACTTTTTTGCAGGTTTTTTTTTACGCTTTTTAAATACTCTGACAGGATACATTACTTCCTTTATAAATATCTCAGCAGGTTGTTATTTTCTTCAACATTCATTATATCCTTCTCTCAGTGTCATTCCCTACCAATCATGCATGATCTGGACATACAGAACATGTAGGGTTAAGGAACGGAAAAAAACAAAACAATTCAAGGACAAAGGAAAAAGAAAAAGGGCATAAAACCAGGAGAATAGAGGCAGAGAAGAGATCGTCGGACCCAAATCAAAGGACTCCTTATCAAAAAATATAAAACTGAAATGGGAAAAAAGTGTAAAA